CCGCTTTGCGCCAAACTACACGCGCACAAATGGGGAAGACAGGGCCGTGCTCGCATTTTAAAAATCTCTAATCATTTGGTGAATGGAGTCCAAGTGAAGTAGTACCCCCATCCTTCTATTTCTCATTTTGTTTCTCTATTGTTCACATGTACGTGTAGACACTTCCACCATCTCCCTTATATTATACTAGCGTTTGCGGGGGCGGATTTGTTGTAAACTTTCCACTTTAGAGTCAACTCCCCCTCGTTAATAAACACCAGGAATTTTTAAAAGTCTCCTCATTTTCTTTCCCAGGTTGATACTTATTCCTTAGCTTCTCTTGGTCCTCTTCAAATTGTATTGCATTAGGAAGTTTGACCGTTCTGGCGGTTTCCTCCTTTGTGTCAATCAGCAAATGCAATTTTGGCCTCAGCTAAATGTTCTTTGCTTCTGTTTCAGCGCAGATCGATATGTGCAGGACGAGGGATAATTCGAAGTGTGAACCACGGGGATCGGTAATCTTTACTCCGTTTGCGTCCCTCAGTAGGGCAGTTTTTACTTGAATGGCGCTCTCGTTGGAGGAGGAAGTTTCTGGGGCACCAGCGAAGGTGGGATTGGCTGCACGGGCGGTCTCCCCTACTGTTCTTTCCAGCTTCTGAAATGCTTGCCTCAGGGTTGGTCTCAGTTGTGTTAGATGTGATCCCCGATCCGCCTGCAACTCGGGCTTGCTGGAGTGGAGCTGTATGGGCGCATTAGATCTGAGCTTTCTACGAAAGCAACCGGGTGGGTTGCTTCTTGGAGACCTTGTTTGGAGGATCCCGACACAGCAGCGTCATGAGATCCATCTTGGACTGTGGCGATGGAAGATAGATCCTGTGTTTCTTCAGTCCTCGGAGTTACACGGTTTCGCGGTGTAACACTAGGCCATAAACTAACCTCTTGGGACGGAGATCCAGGTGAAGGTAAGTTATTATCGCTCGCCACCGCCTTTAGCAGGATGCCCTCATTCAACACAACATCTAAGTAAATCGGTTTGAAAAGCAAAGTGGGAGAAATGAATGGAGGGTAAGAAAAGCACCCTTTCTCCGAAAAAAGACGTCCTTTTTTAATGCCCCTACGGGGGCAGCTTTCACCTCTAATTTGATGTAACATCAGGGGATGCCTTTTTACACCATTTTAAGAGTACCCCATTCGTGTCATTTTTTTTTTTTTCTTAGGAAACACACCGAACAGTTCATTCCAAGTAAACAACCGAAGTGTTCTTTTTCTGACACGCACGCGGTCTCAAGGGAACGTTTCACGTAACAGGAAAAGGAAATTTAATTTTGCTTTATTTTGCTTTATTTGACTTTATTTTTATTCTTTTCCTGGCATAATAATCTGATCATCAGTTACACAATTTGGCCCCCCTTCCAAAAAGTGTGTTGACTCTCCCCAACAACGATACGCCTTGCCCGTTCAGTGGTGCACACAAATGTATGCTAATTTCCATGTGTGTGCACCAGTCCTCCCCGTCGATGTCTCTGCGCGGCTATTTCACCTATACAGATGGTTCACCATGGAGGGGTAAAGGGGGGTATACACTGCTGCACTGTATCAGCCATATCCGAGCATTACCATATTGATGATAAAAAAAAAAAAAGGGAGCAATAGCAATGAGGACGACCGTGGAAAATACACTTCGTAGCTGCAGGAAGATAAGTGCAATTTTCTACGTCGTGAATTGAAACCCCGTTAACTTCGTGCCCTTTTGGAAATTGTTCCAAATTCATAACTAACGGGTACGTGCCCATTTTAAGATCCAACAAGGCTAAGTGTGCTGCTGCCTCAGTCTTCAGTGTATGCACACGCACATGGTCGCAACTCCGATGCAGTCCAGACGAGCGCCAAGCGTTGTTTATCGCCGCCTTCTCAGGTGAAGCTCGCCTTAATGTCACTATCGCCTCGTGAAGTAGTCCACTCCGCCCGGGGGGTTAACGGTGCAAAAAAAATGGAAAAAGAAAAAACAAAAGATGGCAAAAAAAACTTTCTAAAAGTTGCCTAGAAATTGTTCATTAAAAATTGCCTCACGGACAGTTGAAGTGCCAGCCCTGCTCGGAGATTCTCCCAGGAAAAAGAAAAAATGGGCGCCCCAAAACGGAGGGGGTAAAAAAAAAAAAAGGAAAATGACTTGACATGCGTAAAAAACGCAGGTACATTTTTTCGTTTTTTTTCGTTTTTTTTTTTTGTAATTGAAAGGAGAAAGCTGTTCCCATTAAGCGACGTGACATACACGTAGGTCTGCTTGCCCGATTTAACAACTCCCATCACATTCCTTCTACACGAAGCAGAAGAAGCAGTCGTTGCTTCCTCTTTTTTTCGTTAAGCAGTACCCAGGAGACACCGTGCCTTTGCATGCATCCCAATTCTTTTCACAAAATTCGATGCACTCCATTTGTTTATCGACATCTGTGGAGGAAGCTCTGGAGCAAACTTTCTCATCGCCCATGGCATCTGCATTGTCGTACGCCACGAAATTACTTTTTATTTTTCCATTCTTTACGTTCTTCAAGAAATGGAGAGCCTCCTTTACCATAGTCACGTTCACTCCAGTGCTACCCGTCAACGATGAGAGGGGCTCCTTGGGGGGTTCTGGTGCTGGTGCCTGCGGCGCTTGCTGAGGGTTTGTCTCAGTCGTTTGCTCAGTCGTTTCCTGAGGTGGTTGCTCTGGAGTTCCCGTAGTCACGGATGACCTTGACGTCTCTGGTAATGTACTCGGTGATGGTTGTCCCTCTTGTTCATTTTGTTGCACGGATGGCTGTGTAGATTCAACTCCATGAGTGGTTGAGTCAGTGCTGTTAACTTCTTGTTGTGGGGGTGAATCACCTGCACCTGTTTCTTGTACTGGTGTAACAGGCCCTGATTGTTCTTGTCCATTCGTACCTATTGCTCCTGGTTGGCCTGATTGACCTCCTTCACCTTCTGATTGTACTACGTTGCTAGGTTGACTAGGTGGATCATCTTGCCCGTGAACCGTCGAATTGTTGCTAGCACTCTTTGCACCGTCAGAATTGCCGTCACTTCCCGATTCGTATTTATTCAAATAAAAGTTAGTGAAGAAATCGGGGGAGTTCTTCAAGTAGTAGTTATTTATTTCTGGGTCACTATTCGGCGCGGGAACGACCACGGGGATATGCACGTTGAAGACGGCAGCGGTGTGAATGAAGTTGTGCTGGCAATGATCTGGTCCATGCATGTCCACCTTAAAGTTGCCCTTGTCTCCCCAGTGCTTTCCCCAGCTGTTACGTAGCAACCAGTAGGACTTCTTCACTCCATCCCCGTTTATGTAGTTACCATAGCCTATTATGTTGACAGCGATGTCGGGTGTCTCATCTCCACACAGAGAGAGCACCTTCTTCCCGTTCAGGTCGTAACTGAGTGCTCCTGTCGCTTTGACATACGCGATGACGGATCCTTTGTTCATCACTTCGGATTTTACCAATTTGATAAACGCGTCCATGTTTCCCTTGAAGTGATCGCT